CGACACGAGCCTCACTCGCTAAGCAAGAGAAACGCATTAGACACTGGCTGCTATACCTATTCCATTCTCTCTTTATTTCCCTAGTTGTCAGTTACAGACATGGTCCACTCGTTGGGGGTGTTGCGTGTACCAGCAGTGACGATTGAATTTATGAAGGCGGAGACGTAAAAAGCATTACGCGCAGCTGGAGAAACGTCTGCCGGTCCCTCGCTTAGACTCTATACCGTCCGGCACGTTCCAGCATCCCAATGTCTCCGGAACAGTCCGCTTCCCGTAACAGCTTGAGAAATTATTCGCAGCTGGCAGTGTAAGCGATAGCTTGTCGCTTCAGTTCAATCGTTCTCTTTCGTGCCTTTCGAAATTACCGCCGGAAGTAAGGACCACCACTGATCCAGTTGAGCGTAGCGACAGCGGACATGGTCCAAGTGGTAACTGTTAGCTTCAAGGACGTAAGAGATGATCAGGAAGGGTGGTAGCAACCTCAGCACTTTTTCTCCCAAAGTCCGTTCCAGGTAACACGCGCACGCCGTTGTAACACCTGCGTGATAAAATTAGGCCGGTCCACGTAAAAAGCAGCGATGCATGGCCATGGCCAGTCGGCCATAAGGAGTGCAGGCATTGAAACGACCAGCAGAAGGACCGAGGTGAGTTTCGCCCGAGGGTTTTTGGGTTTAAAAATAATGCAGACTCATCGGATTCGTTTTGGTCCGTCTGTGCGTTACGGTTAGTCGCGAACGTCATCAGGAGGACGTTGCATCGGGGCAGCCCGGGAATAATGGCACTTATTAGCTCGCTACCATTTGCGTTCGATTCACCTGATGAAGGCATTCGAGCAAACACCGATCATGACTCGTAATGAGAATCAATTGGTTTCTATATGGGCAAGCTGAGGAAGAGCCGCTATTCGTCGGCTTCTCTCATATTTTCTCTTTGTACGTTTTTTCTCTTTTACTTTCTTTCGACTCTTTCTCCGCTCTGGCACACTATACGCCTTCCTTTCTCCCAGGCACTGAAAGCAGCCGAGCCGAGCGAGGCGTGCGCCACTCGATGACTAATGACAGGCCGGTAAGTTCCTCAAATTGAATTAAACGCGTCTCTAAAACCGTGACGTAGCTCAACAATCAGTGGCCATTCATTCTCCAGTAAGGAGAGTCCAATTGTTACGTACAACTGGAAAACGAGAAGGCCAATACAACTGGATCTGTGCTATATAAATTAGTTCTTTAGATTTTCTGCCAATGACTTTGTACTATATTTATACGTGTACTTGGATCAAACGAAGATTATACGAGCACGAGGTTGAAGGAAGCTGGAGAAGATTGATGTTTGCTGTATAGTCTCTAGATTCGATCTTTCTCCAGTTCTCAACTTGTCATCTCTTTATACAAATGAACCAGCTACTCCACCTTGAATTATCCACCCGGTAAGTTTATATATCCAATATAGTGCAAAAGATCGGCATTGTGATTGGCACAGGCATTTAATTCCAAGGAATGATCCTGACGATTTCGATCCTTGCCCTTTGCAGACTTGGCAAAGAAAGTAAAAGAGAGTTTACGTACCGGAGCCTCGGGGAATGTCAAAACATCTGGATTCGTCGAAATATCGTAAATAATGATTAAGCGAGCGTGCATGACTAATGATAGAAGCAGTAGCCGGGTAGATTGAATTGAACGTGTTTTTAAAGTATCGATAGGAAGACGCGATAAGAATACAACATGCAGCCAACCGCGAATATTCCTGATATTCGACATCTGAATTATTTGGTAATATCGATATATTAATGTTTATCGACGTATAATCATTGGAGTAACTCTAACGGATAGCCCCTTCGATTACTTAACATGACCTATCGTGGTTCAGTCCACGTGGGTCATCGGATGGCAAATTGGCTCCTATGGTAGCTAATGAGAGATTTAGTACATAAGTACTATTCTGTACATAGGCTGATAGATATATGGTATATACTATGGTACCAACCCACTGACACCTTCGGCAAAATTACTCTGAAGGTTCTGCGATCGTTACCGATCCTCCCATTAGCGGTGATCTTTTTTTCAAGATGCCGAGAGGAAGAGACATTAGGATAGTTGGTCCAGTCTCCGACCATGAACCGTCGGCTGGGTTATCTTTATATGGGAATATTGGGATCGGCTTGTGGACCATGCTGAAGCTGTACCTGTGGATCCGTACCTTGAAAGTTGGGGTCCCACCGTGGTTGATTAACGATGTGAGCGACCAGCACGAGGTGGGTGGCGCATGCCTTTGTGACAGCACGGTCGCTCCTCCACTCCTCAACACCGCCACCGTTCCTATCGTGGATTATTATAACTCATGCGTTTCATCTCTTACCTTCATCGGCTATTTGAGGATCACCGATATACACAGACTGTACATCGGCACCTTCGAAATCGTCAGGATCATTCCTTGGAATTAAAACAGATGCTGCTGCACATGGGTTTAGGCATATGGATTATTGAATGAGGATTATAGGTATCTTTGAATACGTATATTTTTTCATTTTTTTTTACTATTGTAAATGATTTTTTGTTATTGTGTTTGTATGCTTACGAGTATTCTTTGCTGAGTACAAATCTAATTAAGAAATATTGATTATACAAATTACGGTACAGAGACAAGATTGATGTTATCTTTTTGTATGGTTGATAGAGGAATATTTATGCGGGAATTTTATGTTTCGTAATAATCATGATCAATTATGAAAGTGAAGATGTTTCTAGGATAGTCATTGTATAGTATAGTAATTGCAAGAGTGTGCGTTCGTGAGGGTAAAAATCGCTGAAAGGATTTCAATAAAATGTCCGTTGAGTGATAGTCGAAGAAGTCGACAGGCAATCTAGAGCTGTCGAAGAGTTCGATGAGAACGGCGTAAGAGTCCAAGGGAAACGCATGGAAATGACTACGGAGTCCATCTTGCGAAATGAGTTTGGTCCAGCGAAAGAGAGGCGGGTAAAAAGGATAAGGGTCGATCTGATGAGGGTACGTACCCTATATTGGCAGGCGTGGCTGTGGGTTGTAGCAGGGTGTGCGGGGTATCGAGGGGTTGCTGATTGGTTCCTGGCTTCAGTGGCGGCAGCAGCATCGGCCTTAGCATGAACCATGGAGCCGAAGGGCTCTGAGAAACCCCCCGGGGGTCTGGACGAACCCTTATTCACGCAGCGCAGAACCTTAATAAAATGCGCATTTATACGAGGCATTCGCGTCGATATTGCTCTGGATAGAATTTGTTGCGACGCTTGTCGACCTTACAGCCAATCCCGCCCCTACCTTTATTAAATACAGCACAGCGGCCCCGTAATAAAGAGTCACCCTCTTATCTATGCATATATTTTAAGATATCGAAGGATGAAAGATGTCTGATAAACAAGACTATTAATATATGTATTTTTATTTTAAAAACATTAACGCCTGCACAAGTTATATTGATTAAATATATAAATATAATCATTATTGATGCTAGGTTAGGTTCGGTCGAAATTATGTGGTTCAAAAATAAATATGGCGACACACGGTACACTGGGTGTGCGGATATTTGGCTGGCGATGAAATTTCTCGTTTTTCTCTGGACGCCTTCCAGGACCTACAAGAAATCGCTTAGAGTTCCATTTTCTCTAGGATGACAAGAAGAGACAATAGTGGCCGAGCAAGATCGTACGTGGGATAAGTACGAGAGAGACGCCTCGTTATTACGTAGTTAAATAAATGGAATTCTTTTGGCATGCAGAGAGCAATTTTTATATTCCATACTTTTATAATTACAGCCGTCAGGATAAAGGAGAACCGGGTTAGGGATGGTCGCCTTTGATAACGTCGTTCAGTGTTGAGGGCCGCTAAGGGACGGGCCGAGGGGCACAAAGTTTTCTGGCTGAGGGAGACTGGAGGGTGACTGGCGCGATTGCAGGCCTCTGGATGGGTGATTGATTCACTTTGAATGATTAAAGAACGCGGAAGACGTGGGGATGATGGGGAGTACGGAATAATAGCATTCGATAGACTCATCAAACTTTCTCCGGAAAGTTTAAGAGTTCCTGCCAGTTTGAGCAAAGTGGATGGATCATCGAGACCAAGGCATGCTCTTTCAGCCGTGGCGACACGAGATATACGAGTTTCGCGTTATTTCCTACTTAGAATGACGAAAGTTATCTTACCCCTTGGTACTGGTACGACTGCTACTTCCATAAAATTATTAAAGTTTAAAATTATTAAATTAATTATTAATATTAAAATTCAAGGCCAACGTTAACTTTATAGACGGAATATGAATATTTGGTAAAATAAAATATTTTTTGGGTAATTTCTCAAGCTTTGCTCTTTACTGTACTTACTTGCACTTGGCCAAGAATATCTTTGAAAATCATAGTTGGAGTGAGGTACCATGACTTCGAAGAAAGAGCAAAAAGGCCATGGACATATTTTGCAAAGAGTCAAGAAGATTTGTAAGATAGTAGTCACGGAGAAAGGGTTGCAGAGACAGGAGAAAGACAGGGCGCACTTTCAAAATTTGAATAATTTACAGCTTGTAAATAATAACGATTATAATCAAGCAGAACCAGTCGACATTGTAAACTTATTCGACAGGCACAATGCCTGCATAACAGCAGTAGCCGACTGGCCGTGTGTTAGCAAAGGGATAGTAAACCGCCTGCAGTAGCCAAAGGGTTGCTGGCACGGTTTGCGTGATTTATTGCTGTGTGAATCGAATTTTTTCCATCCCGAGTGGGAACCTCGTTGCAGGACGGCCACGTCAGCAGGAGGTGAAGTTTGCCAAAAGAGCGGAAGGCGTAAGTAGGTCAAGGAAAACTACGATTTTCCATAAACACGTGAAAATTCAAGATAAGATTAGTGATCTCTATCCACAAAAATCTGTCGATTTATTTTCATTTTCATTTACTTCATCTATAATTTACTTTTACCCTTTATTTTTGATTAACCAAAAAATTGCCACTCCGTGTTAAGCGAAGAATTTCCCAAAAAAATTTTCTTCCTTTTTGACAACATTTTTGCATTTATCCTTTAGCACAAAATTTGGCAAATCTATAGGTACAATAAAGATTACAGTTCTGCGAAGATAAAGGTCGTGCAGTTTCTCTCTTGCTAGGGTATCCATATAGAATGAAAGATAGCGGTACTTCTTGCGGAGGGTTATTGTTCCCCGATCGGTTACGGCTCATCAGCTGCTGAAGTTCCTCACTTGTAGTTTGTCTCCACATCTAGAAGAAATCCCAAGGCGCCAACCCGTTCTTACACAATATATATATATATACCCGTCCTGTCCATATACTCTCCAGTGTTCCTTCTGTCTTCCGATTGCCGTAAATCTTCAAATAAACAATAAATACCGCAAATTGCTCGGCTTTCGTGCTTTGACACGCAAATGAGAATCAGTCCCCAGTGAGTTGTAAAACGTTGAAATTGCTGTCCCGCCCAGAACGTCTCTTATAGCTTGCTCTTCCTCAATTCGATCCCAAGGGACACGTTGGAGACTTCGACGAGATTCTACAGCGCACTAATGATGCCTCGAACATGGCCGACAAGTCAACGGGTTCGTGTATTTAACATTTTTCCTTTTTCATCCGCCGCTATGCAAATGTCATTGATGCTATCGGATACGAATAGATTATTTCAAAATATCATACGTCAATGATACACGCTATTGTCGATAAATTTTCACCACGTAATACCGATTATGCAAGTAACAATGTACATTATAATGCCAATAGAACGATGGGTGAGTTGACGAAGAGGTTAAAAAAAATTCAAATATGTTCGATGCCAGGTAACAATTTATAAGATACAGTCAATATTATCAATGACACTTTGGGTTCGACTTACCTGAATAAACGGACGGTTTAATTCGAAACCATTAGCATCCGCGCGGCGAATCGGTCGCAATTCCTCCCGGCCATCCGGAACGGACTTTTTGAAAAATGAATGCTCTCTTCTCAAAAGTGGTCCTAAAATGCCTGAAAAAACACCGACAATGCAAATCCATTAATCTTGCAAGTCCTGCTTGTGCGAACGGTACCGTGGCTTCGAACCTGCGAAACTTCAGACATCCCTTTGCACTTACGAGCTGCAATTCCAACTTCTCAGTATGCAGTAGGTATACCAAGTTCCTGTGGAGGCTTCTCAAAAGTCCTGACTATCCGGCACAAAGAGCTGCACAAAGACAAGATGCAAGCTCGTGCCGTTCATTTTGAGGCAATTAACCCTATGAACGTAACTGGGTCATCGACCAGCAGGCGAACCCTTTTTCCCTTTTGCAACAATACACGGGCCTTGTTGCAATATGCAAAACTGCTCTGTGGACTGCCTAAAGAGCGAAGGGCGCCAAGTGGTAATTGCCGGGGGTCATGGACGGAAGCCGACCTTAGCCTCGTTGCCTCCTTCGGCTGGTAATCACCGTCTCGATGCCTTCTTCGTACTCTCTTGCTTTGCTTACCACGGTAAGTACTTCTTCACGCGTGAACTAACTCGATGACGCGAATCTCTCAACAGCCTCTACGAGATCATCTTTAGCGCAGCTTCCCTGCTTCCGCTTTCTGAGGTTCTTTTAACACTACGACTGGCAGACGTCAAGCTTGTTAGTCGCTGCGAACCTTCCTTTGACACTGAGACACTTTGGTATACCTAGTCAGTATAGTTCATTTTTGCGAGACCAGTTTAGAGACTTGTCAGCCAAGAGACGTATGGTTAGTCTCTTTAAGAGAAAATTAGCTGGCACTCTTTTGGTACTGGTCTCAAGACCACCTTGGAGATAAGTTTATAGGGTGTGAACTACTTCTGGTAGCCACTTGTCAGGAGTACCTTTATGCCGGGTTAGTGTGCCAAGAATTCTCGAGGGTGCTTCAACACTTTGAGAGCTTTTCAAGTTACTTGGATATATCATGGCCGAACCGAAAACCATAGTGAGGTCGTATAAGAAGTGTCTTGAAAGTTTCGCGAATTATAATAAAACGATAAATAATTATTCAACATCCCGAGATGTACTTCATGACGGGGGGAGATAATCGCGACCTTGCAAAAAAACATGTCCAAGTCTTACAACAGAAACGATAAGCCGCGACAGAGGCTGTATTCGGAGACAGGTCATTATTAATCTTGAAATCATTTTTACCTCATTTCGCGTGACAGAAACTGGATTTGAAATCTTAACGAAGAGACTTTATACAGAATACGTGTACTGGACCAAGTAGTTTCGCGTTGAGATTAATTTCAGGGACTATGCGCTTGATCTTCGTGTGGCTGGAAATATCGTCGCCTATGGTTGACCTTCGAATGAATAAATTTTAACGGACGACCTCAGTAAGATCCTGCAACTGGGACGTTCCCGGATCAGAAATTTTTTGCACACGCATCGTGACCTTGTTTACCTGAGACGGACCCTCTCAAAGGGGCAGATTGGGATGCCTTCGGCATCAAAAGCTACAGGGGGTGTCCCCGGAGATGGGGTCCGTGCTCCCGCGGCTTTTGACTCGACAAACGTGATCTTATGACTCAGCTAAACAAACCGAATCTCCTGAGACTCATCTTTTTCACCTTGAACAGTTTTCATTGCCAACGCCTTTTGCTGACGTAGTTGTGGACGAGAGAATATATGCTATTTCATAGATTTACGCGAAACGATAGAAAAATTTTAAGAGGCACGTGTAGTATCCGTACCGGTTGACCGATCACTCCCAAAAGAATAGATTTTGTATTGAAGTCTCTCCTTTACGAAATTTGAGATGGTGCTTACCAAAAAATTTGTTTTGACTTTTACCGTAGTCAACGTGGAACCAGAAGGCTTTCCTTAAGCAATGATCATTATGCGATCGATCATTTTGCATGGAAGTGATTGGACAGTCTTTAAAATATGTTTTGATTGTAGGGAAAGACTATTTATGGTTTTCTGTCGGGAAAATTTCTAACCATTCGTTCATGACTGTTTAAGACATTTTGAATAATTTCATTTGTTTCTGATGATCGAAATCGATCTGCGCTGAAGTTAACGTCGAACTGAAGCAAGGAACAGGACGATAGTAAATCTTGAAACTATTCTTGTACTATCATCAATAAGGCAGCGGGATATTTTTACAAATGGTAGCTTGGGTTTGATCACTCCGGTTGGTTCTCCTCTCTTTTTCTCTTTTTTATAGGAAATTTAATCTCCCTCTAACTCGTTAGCTGGTTGGGAGCCTGTATTGCATTAAAATACGTAGGAGGCAGCCATACTGACGCTACCATCGCCTTTATGAATATTCACTCGAGCTTATAACGTGAGCTACATGTCCGATGGTGCACGAGATGAATAGTCAAAAAAGGAGTGAGTCTTAGTTTCAGAAAAAGTGTTATTATCAGGATAAATAATTATAACAATATTATTGTATAATCAAAACTAATAAATTGTTGGATAATAAAATGAAAAAAAAATTTAGTCAAACGTATTAAACGATATTGAAAAAATTGTATGGTTCAGGGTTATAGGATTAATAAATTAATTTAATTAATATTCAGAGAAAATTAATTCGTTGAATTAGCACTTGTCAGTGACCATGATAACTGCACAAGTATTTTCTTAATCGGCGATGATTAATCAGTCACGATGGTAGCTTATTGAAAACTTAATTGGAATCGCGAGAACACGCCGATTCCGAAGTTTTGGCCGCGTTTTCATGAACGATCAACAAGTTAAAACTGGATTATTTAATAAACCGGGCGAAAGAGATAAATCGTGAATTATTCCACTCGCCCCAATCCCCTTGGGGCAGCGTTTCTCCTCGCGTTATTAAAACTTTCCTAATGAGCAATAATAAGCGTCGCGGCTCACAGATTGATATTAAATCGCACGCCGTTTTATTATTACCATTTATCATTATCACGGCGCGGCTCAATTCTTATCATGCCGAAAATTAACTCTGCAGTGTAAAGAAAATATAAAAAAATGATCTATCGCACAGTCCAATCCTCAGTACACAAATATTATTTACAGTGAAAAATGATTTCGTAGTTTTTCCTGGATCGATAAACACTCCAAGTGTTCCTGCATGATCCAGCATGATCGATGCATAAAAAAAGTCATGAGTGCGCAAGAAAAAAAAAAAAACCCTGAAAGCTACGATATTCACGCGGGTCGATTAAAAGGGGAAAATAATAATGAAGACAATCTGAACCAGTCCGAAGCCACGGCTCATTAACCTATCTTATCTATCCATTGACATGAATGAGAGGGATCCACTTTCCCTCGGCTTTTCTCTTCACTTTGGCAAGATGTGAAAGATCACCAAAAGAGTATACGGGGTAGAGGTCTGACCGCCTTTCCTTTCCCCCATTATTTTTTGGCGTTTCCCGAAAAAGGTAGATAGATTGTAAAAGAGAGTGGGCCAGCAACCGATTCAAGAGTTTCGAAGGTCTTATCGATCCTCGAGAAGCAAGCTTAAGAAGTCGCAGGCAAGTCTAAGGCTATCCGATGGCAAAAGGTGGTTCTTTGTCAGCAAGGTTTTCTCCTTAGAGTAGCAAACTCGAGTGAAAATGTCGCAAGGGGTAGTTATATCTATAGATTATATCCATATGTATAAATACGTCCCAACGTATACCATAGAAAAGCCTAGGAGCTCATCCGTATAGGGGATGTCGAAGGAGGGAGTGCGATCGTGCGATAGTCACCAAATTGGAGATCACATTCGTTCGGTAGCGAGAGAAGAGTGCTGCGGTGGGTTGGCATCCCTGGTAAGGGGGAGGGGGTGGGT